GGGCAGGCGGACAATCTCCGGTGTTAGTCCTTGCCTTCTATCTTGTCTGAGACAGGGACACTTGTTCAAAGCTATATATGCCAGGCTAGCTGGCCCACAAGCTCTTGGGTCTCTTGTCTCCACCTCCCAGTGAGCTGGGATCACAGACACACATTTTTGCCTCCAGCTTTACTTGGGTCCAGGAATCTGAACTCACATCCTCACAGAGTGCTGCACAGCAAGCACTTTAACAATGGAACATTCTACTCTTCAAAAACAGTCTCTAAATTTTTTACATTTCATTTTTTAGCTTAATAATTTCTGTTTGTTTTTTGTTAAAATTCTTACTCTTTTCTGTCACAGCAAACATTTTAAAGTCCAAGCCATAAGCTACCATCTTAGGGTCTTTTTTTATTGAATGTTGTTTCTTCCAATGCTCATACATGCTGTTCTGTTCTGTAACTCGTTATCTTTGCCATGAGTCATTATAACTGAAAGTTGTGAGAATAGATTGAAGACTTGAACTTTACTTTCCTGAGAAGGTCACCTGATCACTTGACTTGTTAGCTATGTTACAGGCCTGGAACTCTCTTGGGTACAGATGACATCTAGACAGAACCCAGGCTAGGGTCTGTGTGAGGCCCAGTTTTCCAACAGTTCTTTTTGTGTATGTGCTTGGGAACAGCCTTACAGGGCTTGGAAGAGCTTCATCACAAACTTCAAACTCTGACATTGTCCTCTACACAGATTCCTCAGGATGATTCCTGGTCCCTCAGTCACCAACTCTGGACTCGGTGACTGCCTTAGGGCCACAGCAGGCACCTGTGTTCTGACAGCTCTTTCCATGGGGCTCCTTTTTCTTTCAAATCTCAGCCAGCCCCCCCTTTTTTTCTTACCTTGATAGTTTCCCCACACTTTTATGCTGGGTTTTCTGAAAGTATTTTGCCCACTTTTTCAAATTCTCCTCAGAGGAAGAATTTGCCTGAATCACTCAAGCTGTCAAAACTGGAAACATAACCCAAAACATGACAGTATTGTTTCCTCATGGTAACCCTTAATATTACACAAAGTTTAACAAAGATCTTCTAGTATCCCTGTCTCAACCCAAACACTCTGGGACAGCCATTTTGTCTAAACATATAATTAGACAATACACATATCTAAATGATAATTCAAGGAGTAGAATATTTTCTTATTGATTCAAGAAATATTTATTGAACCTGTGCTGCGTTTCAAGAACTGGTCTAGGCAAAGCAGTTATCTTTTCTTTTTTCACAAAGAGTAGGGATATGGGCTGGGTGTGGTTCGTACCTTTAATCCCAGCACTTGGGAGGCAGAGTTCTGTGAGTTCTGGAGCCCTCCTGGTCTACATTGTAAGATTCAGGCCAGCCTGGCCTACATAGTGAGACCCTTTCTCAAGAGAAGAAGGCAGACAGTGAGACTCAAAGTGTTTTACTTTTTAAAAAGCTACTCTTAAATGTGATGAGAGATGGAGAGGAAAGTTGGTGAGAACAATCGATTGGGACAGGAAGGCAAAGGGGTGATGCCAAGTGCTGCATTCATTGTGTAGCTTTGTCTGCAAGAATCGGAAAATTAAGCCTAAATGGATTTCAGTAATGACTGAATGCATCATCTGTCATGAAACAAGAAGCCCAGAGGCCTCTAACAGAGACCATCATGTCTCTTGCTCCTTGTTGTTCTTGGGCTGATTCAAGGTAGCAGCTGAAGTTCTATTTATTCTGTGTAACTGAGACAGTATGGGGTGGAGGAGGCTCCCCAGAATCCCATAGCACATTTTTCCCCTTTTTGTCTGGTCAGAACGGGGATCTATGTTCACTTCTGCTCCAGTCATGGCTGCATGTGCTGCTCTTGCTCTTGCAGACGACCTGAGTTCGGTTCCCAGCACCACATCAGCACTCACACCTTCCTCTAACTCTGGCTTCAGATAATCTGACACCTTCTGACCTCTGTGGGCAACTGAACTCAGATGCACAAAATCTACACACATACATAATTAAAAATAATAAAAATAACAAAATTAAAAATACAGATCTTAGGGAAAAAGAGCTACCAAACTGTCATGATGGCTTAGACTGATTGTAATCTGATTCTGCCTAGGTGAGAGGTTAATTCCTCAGCAAAATTGGGGTGCCAGGGCAAAGAGGTTGCGGGGTGTAGGAGGAGGAAGAAAAAAAGAGAAGGAAGGAGCTGAATGGGGTTCAGAAGCAGCCAGTAGATGGCTGATAGACAGCAGAAGATAGTATCACCACCAAGAGCAACTGTTAGGTCCACAATTCCCGGAGGTTTTTACATATGCCTTCTTCGCTCTGACCCTGAAGACAGCAATCAAAAGCTAGTATGCCTGGACATGTGCTGATCACTCAGGCTTTAATAGCCCAGGGACGTAGATCTATCCTTTTACAACGACAGAAAGGACTTGCAGAGTGTGAAGGAGTCTTGGAGGAGCACACAGTTGGTGGAGCCTGGAGTTAATCCAAAGGTCTTTTATTTTTAACTTTGTTGATACACTGTTTTGGAGGGAGGCTACCATTATTCTGATTTTTTTTTTTTTTTTTTTTTTTTTGAAGAGGAAATTGAAGTTGGAAACATTTCCCAGAAAACTCCCCTTTCCTATCCTGGGCTACATTAGGCTTCAGGAGAGTGCTACCCTTGACCTTTGATGTGAGCACACTGGTGGGATGGACACGGACACTATGGCCAGGAGGAAACAGGGAAGGCAGTGCCACTGGGTGCTTGAGTTTAAGCCACAGTCCAGAGATTCACAGCTGTGGGACCCTAGGTGAGTCTCCGCTTCATCAGCTCCTTCTCGACCTACCCGGGGGGGGGGGGGGGGGGGTTTCAGCCCTTGGGTGTGGGGAAAGCTGACCACGGCACACCGCTGTTAGGAGAGGTCAAGTCACAGCCTCATAACTCACGCTACACAGGAGTACTTCGCCGTGCTCGCCACAGAGCGAGTGGCAGGCCTACGTGAGGCTGGCTGGGTAGCACAGGGGGATGAAGTGTGTCAGGTTCCCACAGGGGCAAGCGGCGACTTCCTCGGTTACTTCTGTGGCTGAGGGAAGTGAGAGATGCTGTTCTGGGATAAGCAGGAGATTCAGCTAACCTGCCTGATGCAGGGGACTGTGTCTAGGGAACACTGCAATTTGCAGTGAGGCCATTTGGCAACTTGCTGATGTCAGCCATGTCCAGTTGGCACCAAGCTTGGACTTCAGGCCCAGCACTACAGCACTGGTTCTATTAAAATGTATTATTTGGGGCTGGAGAGATGCTCAGGTTAAGAGCGCTCGCTGTTCTTGCAGAGGACCTGGGTTCAGTTCCCAGCACTTCAGATGTGCACAGCCACCTGTAGCTCTATTCCCAGGGGATTTGATGCCCTCTCCTGACTTCCCAGGGCACCAACACATAGGATGCATAGAAATCATTCGGGTACATACATAAATAAAATGCAAATCTTAAAAAAAAATCACACACAAACACGGAGATTGAACAACCAAGGGACCCCGCACGGGTCTGACCATTTATGTCATGGTTGTGTAGCTTGGTGCTCTTGTGGGACTCCTAACAGTGGGAACAGGAGCTGTCTCTGACTCTTTTGCCTGCTTTTGGGACCCTTTTCTCCTACTGGGTTGCCTTGCCCAACGGTAATGTGAGGGGAGGTGCCTAGTCGTATTACAACTTGATATGTCATGTTTGGTTGGTATCCCTGGGAGGCCTGCCTTTCCCTAAAGGGGAATAGAAGAGGAGTTGATGGGGGGGGGGAGTGAGGAGAGACTGGGAGGAGAGGAGGGAGGGGAAACTATGGTCAGGATGTAATAGATGAAAGAATAAATGGAAAATAAAAACAAATCTCTCTCTTTCTCTCTCTCTCTCACACACACACACACGAACACACAATCTTGCCTTGGCATGTAGCCTTGGCCATCCTGGAACTTGCTATGTAGGATAGTGTGGCCTCAGGCCCTCGGAGCTCTGTCTGATCTGCCTCCTGTGTACTGAGATGAAGGGTGTGTGCCACCATGAGCCCATATAGCCTAGCCTGGCCCCAAATGCACCATGTGGCAGAGTGTGACCTTGAATTTCTGGCCCTCCAGCCTCCACCTTCCAGGCGTTGGAAGTACAGGTGTGTAGCACCACACTAGGGTTTATGCAGTGCTGGGGACTGAACTCACAGCCTTGTGCACAAGGGGTAAGCACTCCACCAACCAAGCTACAGCCCAGACTTACCACAGCTCTGGACCTTGGCGTATCTGTAAAACGAGAGCAGTGACACCTGATTCACTGGCTGTTTGATGTGAGTTAGCAGTTTATTATGAGGACACGCGTGACGGTCATTACCCTCTGCCAAGCACAGGGCTTTGTGACTTGTATAGTGTCACATTGCTGTAAGCAGAGAGCTCAGATTTAAGTGTTCATCCTTCTTTCCAGGTACAGGAAACTGTTCATAACATTAAACAGGCCTTTTGCTAGAGAATGACTGGTCTGTTCATCCATTGGTCTGATATGAACGCATCCATTCCCTTAGAGCAAGATGCTCTTTCAGAAGTCTGACATGGGACACGTGGCCTGAGGATGTGCTATGTCCTTGGAAGTCAGTGTCCTGCGTGACACAGGGGAGAGCCCTGGAGGTGAGAGATGGATTGTAAAGACACTGAGAATGTTCTCTAATGAAGTCCACTGGACTAGCTCCCCTCCACCACCATGACACTGTGGGCTGATGATGCCTTTGCTCCACAGGGAAAGGAGCGCTTTCATTGAACACCCTAATAAATGTCAGGCTTTGAAGAAAAGACCTCTTGAGGACAAGGAACTCTGGACCCTGAGCTGTGGTGTGTGACCTCAGGCGTGTCACTTTTCCCCCTCCTTGTGCCTCAGCTTCTTAGTGCAATGAAGGACGAGCTCTGTGGTCCTGGAGGGTAGAAGCCCTTACTGCAAGGAGCCACAGCTGTTCCTTGAACCTGGCTTCCCTTTCCTCTTTCCCTCCCCCACAAAACTGCTGCACAGTGCTTGCTTTGGCAGCACACATGCAAAAATTAGAAAAATACAGAGTAGATGATGATGGTCCTTGTGTAAGATAAGATACAAACTCATGAAATGTTCCATATTTTAAAAATAATATATAAAAAAGAACCCCCCCCACACACACAATCTGCAGTCCTCTCTTATACACAGTGCACTTCTGGGCAGGGATCAACTCTCTCAGAAAACTGCTCCCAGGAGAAAAATGAAATGAGACAACAGCAACCAAAAAACAAAAGCAATCAAAACAGAAGGCTTGCTGCTTTTCTGTCTGAAGCTGGAGCATTGGCCAGCCTGGCTTTTCCCCGAGGAAAACTCATCTTTCAATTAGCTGTGCCATGGCCTGGAGGGTCCATATTCCCAAATTCTGTGCTTGGAATTATCTCTCCACAATATTTTAGAAAGAAAAGCCAACTTTGCAGTTTTCTCCAGATCTGCTTGTTACTGGAAGATCTGGGAGGGGCCTCGATGAGATGAGAAGATGGAAACCCAGCAGGACCCCAGACTTTCCATGCTGGATAACTTCCCAACCACAGCAGCGGGGGGAGGATGGAAGAGGACCCGGGGCACCTGCAGTGACTGGCTGTGCAATGGTATAGAAGAATGAAGGTCAGCTTCCCACAGGCTGTGTTGTTCCCATGTGTCTGGAGGCTGGCTCTAGTCAGAGTCTCAAAGATGTGTGGACATCCCCTGGCCCTCCCAGCCTGAGTTAGCTCTTCTCTCCCAGGAAAAAGCAAGGTTCCTTCTTTTATTTTTTCTTTCTTTCTTTTTAAAACAATGAAAGCATGTAAGTTCCTGGAGAGTTGATGATGTCAAAAGACACCAAATAATATGAGCCATGAAGGAAAATGGGAAAAAAAATTTGATGCAAACCAGGCAAGGTGTCCTAGCTTCATTTCTGTTTCTGTGATAAAGACCAAATTTGTCACAGCTGAGAAGTCACAGTGACAGGAACTTGAAGTAGCTAGCTGAATCGAGTGGAGAGAAATGAATGTCTGAGGAGCTGTTTGCTTCTTGGCTGACTTTCTTCTCTCTTACAGAGCTCAGGACCCCTGCCTAGGGGATGGTGCTGCCTACGGTGGGCTGAGTTTTTCTACATCAATTAGCAGTGAAGACAACCCCCACCCGCATATGCCCACAGGCCAACTGGATCTAGACAGCTCCTCAATTAAGACTTTCTTCTCATGTGACAGTTAAAAGCTAACCATCACACAAAGCCACTAACTGAATGGCTTAGTTGTGTAGGCTTGCTTAGACCATTCAAGTGCTTGGAAGAAGCTGGGTCAAAGTTGTTGGCTCTGGAATCAGCTAGAACTATCCTGAATCTCAGAGCCAGCACCATGTGATGACTTTGACTCAGCGACTTAACATCTCTTAACTTCAGGGTTGGCATGGGAATTAAGCGAGCAGTGCAGGTCTAAAGTACTGCAACATTTAGTGAATGACTGATGAGTTCTCACAAAGATGAAAGGAGGGTGGCCGGACTCCATTTTCTCTTCATCAGCCAGAGAGAGCAAAGTGCAGTGAATGTTCAGGAGCCAGAGTGTAGCTCTTGGCCTCCAAGGCTGCCCTCACCCCCATCCCCAGGCACAAAGGCTAAAGCTCTTCTAGCCACCAGACCTTATCAGGTGGCTGGCTGTTGCTGAGGTTGAGACAGGGAGCCTACGATGCCAGGTGAAATCCAGAAAGTGACAATGGATGGGGGCTTGAAGGGAAATAGACATTTTCTGAAATTGACCACAAGCAGGAAGCAGCCCACGACTCTAACTAAATAGACCTTGTCATCTTCTGTGCTTCAGAAGGTGGTGGCAGGCACAGACCGGCCATCTGAGTAGGCCTAACACAGATGCTTCAAAATCCCCCCAAAGGTGGGGGACATGGCTCAGATGGGAGAGTGCTAGCAAAGCACACAAGGAGCCATGGGGTCCATCTCCAGCACTGCTTCAGACAGGGTAGAGTGGGACACACCTATCACCCCAGAAACTGGGAGGTAGAGGCACAAGTATCTTAGAAGTTCAAGGTCACAAGCCAGGGAACAGGGCAGGCTCCTGGGTAAAGGCGTAGGTGAGACTATAAATCTGCAGTAACTTTGGGACTCTGCCAGACTGAGTCTCTGAAGCTGAACACACAGGAGCCCTGTGATGTGGCAATTTTGCCTCAGCTGTGTTCCCCAAGGACTTAGAATGTCTGACACCCTGCTGTGTGGAGTAACTCCAGACTAGAAACTGCTAGATGTTCACGGACAAGGGAGAAAGAATCATGAACTCGTGGTCTCTTCACACGCTGTCACCATGAGAATGAGGGCTCTCTGCATGCGACGATATGCATATGTCTCCCCCAAAGAATGCTGAGCCTTGTACCTGGTGTCATTTCATTTAGAGGCAGCCCGGGAACATGTGTGGCACTAACTGGGACCTGGGTAAGAGGAAGCTAAGGTCTCTCTTTAGGCAGTGGTGAGCGACATGTGCATGAGGGGACCTGGGGTCGATACTGATGTTTGACTCCAAATGTGGTGCGTTCAGTTTGTGACTATTAATGTGCATTTAACTTAATGTATGTATATAAATAGATACCTTATATATATCATATATAATATATTTTATATGTTATATTTTTTCTAGTAGATGCCGATAAGCATTTTAAAATACCAAATACAAAAAGAGCAGAAACTATAAGAATCTTGGAATAAAGTCAAAAAACCCTACTAAAAGACAGGCCCTAAGGCTGACTGACGTGAGGCGAACCAAGTTCTTGAACTAGAAGATGAAATGTAGCATTACTCTCCCTAAGCTTACCTAGAAAGTTCATGCAATTTCACTATAAATACCAACCTATTTTTTCCATTTAAATGTATATGAAAGAAAGAGTTAGTTGTTCAAAAAGAGCCATGAAATTCTGTTTTCTGTTTGCTTGTTTTTAAAGTTAAGTATAAAGGTTGGCGGGCAAGATGGTTAAGAGCAATGGTTGGTCTTCCAGAGGACCCAGGTTCAAGTCCCAGCACCCACATGTCTGCTCACAGCCTTCTGTAATTCCAGCTCCAGTGGCTCTGACTCCGTCTTCTTGTCTCCGTGGACACTTACACATGTAGTGAACAGAATATACAAACAGACAAAATACCCACACATAGTAATTTGTTTTAAAGGGAAGCACAGCCCATAAGCCAGACAGTGGACTTGCAATGCCAGATACCAGGGTGTATCACAATGATACGGTGATTGAGACAGTGTGCCACAGCATGGGGACGAAACAGATGAGAGAGCCCAGAAATAAGCCTTCACACGGGTGGAAGCTTGTGGCAACTGCCAGACGTGCAATGGTGTCACACCAGACCTTTCGCTTACCCATACGCGGAAAGAGAAATTAGATTCCCACCCTAACCGATTCACAAAAACCAACTCCAGATGGAACAAAAGCATAACTACAACACGGTTGGAAGACAATATAAGAGAATATATCTATGACCTCAGGCTGGGGAAAGATCTCTTAAACAAAACACAGTAAGTACCAACCATAAGGACAACATTGAGCAATTTAACTACATTAAAATTAAGATTTTTTTTTTTTCTTGTAGAACTAGCATATGGCCCAGCCTGGGTCCACTTTGGGGCATATACCTTATACCTAACGGAGTCTAGATCCCAGAACAGAGACATGTGCTCACGCATGTTCATTGCTGCTTTGCTCACAATAGCCAGGAAATGAAAACAGCCTAGATGTCCACCAACTGACAGATGGATAATGAAAATGTGGTACAGATACACAATGGAATTTTATTTGGCTATAAAGAAAAATGGAGTTATGAAAGTTGTGGGAGGGTGGAGGGTCTGGAAGTTATTATATTAAGTGAGGTGACCCAGGCTCAGAAAGACAAATACCACATGTTCCCTCTCATATATGGATGCTAGCTTTTAATGTTTATGTATGTATATATGTGGGTGAGAGTGGGTACAGGTCATGAAACTAGAAAGGGGACCAAGAGAAGGAGAGGGAGGTGTTGAGGGAGAGGGGAGGGCAATAGGACACTGAAGACATGAAAGCAGAGGCTGTTGGGTGGAAAGGGACAAAAGGGAGGGGGAGAAATGGGGTGGGGACAAGGACCAGCATTAGAAAATGCTGTAACAAAACCTAATATTTTGTATATTAATTAATTTATTTTTTTTACTTTTGGTTCTTCAAAAGACAGTATAAAGAAAAGTCACAAATGGGAGAAGGTGATTATATACAAATAGCTAAGAGGATTGGGTAGCCAGCCAACAGGAAACCTGGAGTTGTTATGGTCTATGGATAAAAATGTCTTCCATCTTGCTCCTTCACATGATCACCAGCTCTTTATCAAGCGCTGCTGTGAAGAAAGCCCCATGGTGGCTGCCGGGGGCACAGCATGAAGGGAGCCTGTGGTCTACCATGGAGGCAAGACCTAGGAGAGCTAGCGGCAGCCAGCGCCAAGGTACTTCTGTAGTTGTGGCAGCAGCACGTGAGAGTGGCCTGATGGTGAGATGGGGGTAGTCATAAGCCAACAGGGGGCGCGTGCTCCAGTGTGAAGGGCTTTCCTTGCACAGCAAGGCCTGGGCCTCTCTAGGAAGCTGGGCGCTCTCCCTCCCTCCCTCCCTCCCTCCCTCCCTCCCTCCCTCCCTCCCTCCCTCTGTCTCTCTGTGTGGTGTATGCAGCATGTATGTGGATGCACTCTCACATGTGTGCATGTATGAAGGCAAAAAAAAATCAATACCAGGGTGTCTGTTTCTATTGCTTTCCACCTTTTTCTTTGTTTGCTTGGTTGCTTGGTTGCTTGGTTGCTTTGGTTTTTCGAGACAGGGTTTCTCTGTGTTGCCCTGGCTGTCCTGGAACTCACTCTGTAGACCAGGCTGGGCTCCAACTCATAGATCTGCCCGCCTCTGCCTCCTGACTGTGCGCCACCACCACCCAGCTCTACCTTACCTTTTTTGCCATAGGGTCTCTTGCTGAGCCTGGAACTTGGTGTTGTGGCCAGATGGCTGGCCCCTAAGCCCCTGGCATCTGCCGTGTCTCTGCATCTCCCTCTTTTAGGTGATGAGCTTACAGGCATACCCTGCCATGCCTTGCTTTTATGCGAG